CAAAGGAACAAGAAAAAGGGATAATAAATAATAAATACACTAGTCAGGATAACCCAATTCCAATGGAACAAGAAAAGGGGAAAAGACTACACCAATACAAAACAATCAAAACACTGATTTGAGCAAATGGAATCCTAAGCTAGTGACTAATAAAAAGATGTTGATCTCTCAGAGACACTGAGATGTGGATTGAACTGTGGAACAGCAAAACAGTTGTCTTCACTTCTTTTTCTGGTGGGCTTGATCATTATATAACTATTATTACTATTATTATTGTTGTTATTATTACCATTATCATAATTGGTCACAAAGCCCTTGGCCTGCTCAGTTAATCCATATGGGAGCCCAAAATCAATCTGATCCATACATTGATATGATGGATTGTGTGTTTGTTGCTGAAAAGGTGGGACAACAAATCCCATTTTTCCTGTGGAGAAAGTACTCATGTTGCCCTGAATTTCTGCTTCATCCCAGAATTGTTGCAGCATTTCATCTCCTCCATTCTGAAAATTTCTCCCCCAAATAAAATAAATGTTCAAATTCTAACTATAGTATGGAATATGAAACGGGCAATTGGAAATAAAACAAAATTAGTTTTGACTGACAGGATAATTTCTTTATATATTTTTAACTCAGAATTCAATTCAACTTAATCCAACTTAATCCTCATATTTTTTTTATCAATAAAATTAAATAATATCAATCAGTTATCATCACACATTACATCAACAAAATTCACTATTCATCCACTCACATATTACTAATTACCCATCATTCAAATCACATAATACATCGACTTTAATCATTACATTTCAAATATTAGTAATATAAGAAGTTATAATTTCACTCAATCTTCTACACTATCAACTCTATCTAATATATCAAATAAAAACCAAAATATTTTAATTCAATCCCCCAAGTTGTTAGGAGAATGCAATTTGATGCAAGTGCTAAACTTACACATGACAAGTCATATTTTTAGGAAGAGTTTGTTTTTGTAAGTTAGATGTCCCACTTATTTAGATAAATGTTTTGAAGTAGAAATTTTTGTTTGAAAAATCAAACCGCTTATAAATTGGTTAGCTTGTAAGGTTCATGTATTCAAATAAGTTTCGTTTGTTATGACGAACTTTTTTATAAAAAGTTCAAACTTATCTCATAAGCTTTTTTTAGGTAGTTTTCCAAATAAGCTCGTTGAAATTTTTATTTCAGTTAGCTTATCATCTAATTTTATCAAACATTTTTATTATATAAGTTAGTCGGGAAAATTTCAAAACTAGTCCCACAGATATAGGAGGGTGACAATTTTGGTCCCGACGGAATGCAGAAAATATGAATAGTCCCACAGCTTTTAAAAAATGATCAAAAGTAGGACTTTTTCGCCGGATTTACTATTTCCGGACCAGAACGCCACGTAGCGCACACGTGGCTTATTTTTTACACGCTGGCATCCGACGTGTTCATATTTTTTTTACAAGTTGTGAGACTAGTTTTGAATTTTTTCCATTCTATCGGGACCAAAAATGTCACCGCCCTATACTTGTGGGACTAGTTTTGAATTTTTTCCTATCTACGTCGGATGCCAGCTTGTAAAAAAATAGACCACGTGTGCGCCGCGTGGCGTTCCCGGCCGGAAATAGTAAATCCGGCGAAAAATTCCTACTGTTGATCATTTTTTAAAAGTTGTGGGACTTCATATTTTCTGCATTCCGTCGGGACCAAAATTGTCACCCCCTATACCTGTGGGACTAATTTTGAATTTTTCCCTAAGCTAGTCTTTCACATATAAGCCATAAGTTATGAGCTATAAGCTCGAACATCACTTATCAGCTAACTTATCAGCTAGTTTTACCAAACATAAGTAGTGCCATTCAATGTGACCATGTGATACTAATGTTAGGTATGTTGCAAGATATTAGCACAAAAATTTCAAAATCACCACTTAGATAGATCTAAAATAAGCCAAATATACATACTTCTACAATAACTTCCCATATAATTAAATCATGAAAAATATTCATCGCATCTAACGTTTAAGCTGCCTAACTACATTTTCCACATTCTTCAATTAACTAATCCTCATCAAACACAAGTCTTTTAGAAGTTTAGATGTCTAGGTTGAAGTAACAAACCTTGGGAAAACCATAAGGAGATGGACAATAGGAGTGAAGAAGATCCTCAACGTGCCAACCGGGTAACGTCTCCACGTACTCGGAGATGCTACTTGCCGAGCAATCGAAACCCATCAAAGGGTTATCATTACTAAATTTCTCAGGCGCCAAGGCCGGTGTGCTTTGGGCGGTTGTACACTTGGCTTTGGGAGGTGTACATGCTTGGGCAATCGAGCAAACTTGTTTGACGTTCTCGGGATTTTTCACGTCGGGAACGACTAGTGATGATTTGTTATTTGTCGAGTTTGTGGATTCCGAAGATGGCGGTTGATTGGAATAAGGAATCGGATTTGGAGAGAGTTTGATTCCTGTTAGGAGAAATCTTGTGTGCTTCTGAGTAAGCTCGTTGGCTTTGTGTATGGGGATATCACATTCACTGCATAAGAGAGCTCTGTCTTGTTGGCAAAACAAGAAAGCTGTTTTGTCCTACAAATTTACAAAACAATATAAAAAATAAAGGAGTTTTTACAATACAATAAAATGGGGCTGAAATTTTTTTCTCCATTCGGGACTTAAATGTTGTAAAACTATCAATATGAGTCTTAGAATTAACAGAACTCATAACACCATTAAATATAGTTTACCCATTCGAAAATTTTATTTTTAATAATATCCTCCTATGGATATATTAAAACAATACTTTCTTGTTATCAAAACAACACGAGTCTTGGTGGTCGGGAGCGTGAAATATATCCATCGGAGGATATTATTAAAATTAAAAATAAAATTTTCGAATAAATTACCTTTCCTCTATTCCTATTGTTGTTTTTTTTTTCAATTTAATCAACACAAATCAATCATTCCTTAAACATCCAACAAATAAATCAGTTATTATTATATAAATTCCAACAAAATTCACAATTTCATCCACTCATATATTTTTAACTATTATTTTTTTATATTGAATTTGTAATTGTTATTTTATTAATTTTATATCGCATCAATTATATTTATTATATTATATGTTATTTTATATTTATTAAAAAATCAAAAATAATTCGTTTATCTAAAAAGAATACCTTTTTTCAATAATTTTCCTTAAATCCCACTTTAGTTCATATATTCGTGTGCTTTAATAACTATTTTTTTTTTAAGAAAAATGATTTTTCTCTCTTTAATTAGGAGTTAGTAAATATTAAAAATATAATCCAGAAGTCAACAAAAAATTTAAGTGAACAAATACTTCAAAAAGTTAGATTTTGGTAGCACACCACCCTAGTTTTTGTTAGTATTTTGATTTTAAGACAAACAGAAGTTGAAGAAATCGGAGTATGGTCAAGTGGTTTATTAGGCTTATTTAGAAGAAAAAATAAAACCTTCTAAATAAGTAATTTATACAATTGGATATAATTTTTTTTTTCAGAACTATAAATTATTTACTGATTGAAAATATATTTAAGTGCCAAAAAAAAAAGTAAAATAAACACTTCAATAGACTTTAGGAGCACACCGACCAAACAGAAGAAAAAAAGTGCAGTATTAATAAGAAAAAAGAAAAATAAGCTACATAATTAGAGTTAGATAACTACGATTTTTAAAAGAAAAAAACAAAAAAGGAAAACTGTGTAATGGTTAATTAATAATACCTGGCAGATATCACAGAGAGAAGCTTCGGGGCGGTGGAGAGAGAATCTGTGGTGTTTTCCGGCGAGCTTGTTCGCGTGGTGGACGCGGTGGTCGCAGGCGGCGCACAGGGCGGCCTCGTCGGCCACGCAGAATAAAACCGCTTCGTCTTTTTCACACACATCACACTGGATCTTCATTAGATTATTTCCTATATATATATATATATTTTCTTTTTATTTGTTTTTTATTTTATATATATATATATTTTTTTTTTTACGTTTTTCTCAATCAATATGACTTCTCTTTTGGGGCTGATTTTATTATATTTATTTATTTTTGGATCAAAAGAGAAAAACAGATGAAGTTTTGAGAAGGGAGGAGAAGGTGAAGACGCTGAAAATGGCAGAGATATAAAGAGAGATACCAATTTTGGGAAATATTTGTTTATTCTATCAAACAACTTAATATATTCTTACCATTACTAGATATAGGTGGCCGTCCCCACACTTTTTTT